TAACTGATGACTCCAATTTATAGTTGCCTGTAAATGTTTAGTGATTCTCCTTTCATGACTTATCCTGATACATATCCTGACCATGTTTGACAAATATAAGCAGTAAGGCAAGTTGTGTCCTCTGAGGCAACTCTTAGCAAAAATCCCCAAATTGCCATCTTAACCCTACACATGACTGGGCATCCATGAGCAAATATATCCTTAAGGTAAGATGCTTGAAGAACATGCAAGATGCAAGAAAGAAGATACTTGATGAACAAAGGCTTCCATAAGCGAAGCCTACCAATCAAAATACAAACTGCCTACACTCTGCCCCTAGCAACCAGCTCCTCTTCTGAGGCCTACAAAAGGGAGCTCCGGGCAGTGATCAGACTCTTGAACTGCATGCTCCGCTCAGGACCTGCAGCTCTCTTGCACAACATCTGCTCTCTACTTTCTCTTTGCTTCTGGGTAAAGTCCTGAGCTATTCTGCTTTCTGTCTGTGCTTCTTCAGTTCTTCAAACAGAGCACCAAGAACCTACAAACACTCAGCCCAGATGGAGACCACCGGTACTACTCTTACAGAATCCACTTAGCTTGTCAGAGATCCGACAGAAATCCATCTTCCCCTTTCACTCCATGTCTGATCAACCACCAATTCCTGTCAGCTCATCTTCAGATATACCTATTTCCCTCTTTCTAGTTTTCCCAACTATCCTGGTCCACAGTGGTGCTTAAGAAAGTTCTTTCTAATGTGGGCAAACTGAATCCAAGAACACATCAGAAAACTCATCCACCATGGCCAAGTAGGCTTTCATTCCAGAGATGCAGGGATGGTTCAACATTCAAGAATCCATCAATGTAATCCACCATATAAACAAACTGAAAGAAAAAAACATATGATCAAAAGGCAAAAATCCTTTTGCCTTTATCAAAATTCAACACCCCTTCATGATAAAAGTCTTGGAAAGAGCAGGGACACAAGTTTAGAGTTACCCCAAGATATTTTATATTATTTGTGGTGATTGTAAAGGGTATTGTTTCACTGATTTCTTTCTCAGCCTGTTTATCATCTAATATAGGAGGGCTACTGATTTTTTTAAATAATCTTATATCCTGCTATATTACTGAAAGTGTTTATCAGTTGCAGTAGTTCCCTGATAGAATTTTGGCATCACAAGTCCAAAAATACAACTCAGGCAGGAACTGTCCTTCATACACTGCCACCTTGTAATACAAACTGATACAGAGCACAAGGGCAGCCTCTGCTTTTCCTGACTTTCTCTGGGTGACTCAGCCTCTGCATCTTCTTTTCTCGTAAGACAAGTCTATTACAATCCTCCTCTAGACTGAATTCAAGGATTCCGCCTTGCTGAGCTCTGCTGTCACCCACCTAGCAGAGAACCTGGAACTTAGTGTGCACTGCCAATGTGCCCATTCAAAGAAAGAGACAAAAGCATAAATAAGTAACATCATAAATAGTAAAGCAGAAAAAATAAATAGCAGCTTTCGATGAACTTGTTTGCCTTATGCCTTCAAATTGATTACTATTTCCTCTTAAAAGAATTTCAAAAACCATGAGTATGATAGTCTGCCTACTACCCAATAGGTTATTATATAGATGCCAAAAGCAAAACTATTATGTGCAGTGCAGAATCTCTTCTGAAAAACTTATCTGCAGCTGAGTGTTAGCCCTCGAAGCACACATTCCTTACATATTGCATCAAACAAGACTACAAATGCTTTAGATGACACCAACCATCAAATTAATATTAATGGCAATAGCAATAATAATTTCCTTTTAAGTAATTGATTGATGTGGCGAAGTAGCCAAACCAGTTGATATAAAATCAGAAATTTATATTTTTCCTCAGAAAAACAATTCACCAATGACAAATAACAATAGAGCCACTAAAACTACCTGTCATGTGTCTAATGAAGACAGATTCTCTGGCTACCACATATGATATGTAATATACGAAAGCGCTGCTGTAATTCATAGCTAATTAGTGTCCCACCTTTATGAGAGGTGTCATGGCCCTATGTCTCTTTTCTGATCTCCTCAGACTTCACAAGATCCGACAACCACCGCGTAGATCACAACAACCCAATTAGCACCCATCCCAACCTTGGGCCACTGCTTCCCAGAGCTGCCCCAGCCTCAATAAATCATGTTCTGTCATGAAGCTCTTCTCTGACAGCTGCAAGCCATTGCTACCCAAGGAATAAAGACAATACTTGTAAAGAAAAATCATATGGGAGAGACAAAGATAGAAAAGGGATATTGTTTGCCTTCCTTTAATGGCACTGCAGTCAGCAAAATTGAAGACCATCAATTCTGACTGATTAAGAAGACAACAACTGCACTAAGAAATAAATCTATGGGTAGTACATCTGATGCTCCTTGGTGATAATCAAGTGTCGGCAATTGTGCTGTTTGTTTGTCATGTGTGAGTCTATTGAAGCCCCTTTTCTTTCAATTTTTCCATTGCATAGCCTTCCCTCTGACTAATAAGAGAATTTCCCTTTCAGCAAAACATAATCAGATGCATTTACTTTATCCCCTGTGAATACACAGCAATCAGATAATTTGTTTGAAAGACTTTAAAGTGTTTGACTTCATTGAAAAAGAATCTATAATGATTTGCTGGTCTCCAAAAACAGTTCTACAGTGCTTCCTAAGTCCATAAGCAAGCCCTGGAGTATTCACAGCTCACAGCAGCCAATATCCTTGTAATTCTCTTCTAAGCCTGTCAAGCTGTTTTGTTCCATAATACTCCTTGAGGAAAATGTTCTGAATAGTTGCTGTAGCCCCAGCATTATTCAAAGATATGTATGAGTTGGGTGACACTACTTTCAGTTTGCTTTCTCCATGGAAATATTCTTCTGTATCTTATGCTAATCTGAAGCATTTAATCTAGCTTTTAATAAACAACTACGGCCAAATTGGATACATAAATGAGAAAAGCAAATAAACAAACATGGATACATTTAAACATGGAATACTCTTATAGCTCTTTTTATTAAGTATCAAGATTTCAAAAAGATTCAATTTTCCTCCTGTGAATTTGGTATTCTCGAGGAAATATTCAAATATTTATCTGTAGAGACTCCCAGTGCATCATTTTGCAATAGAAAAATAACTGAAAATAACAACAATGTATAAAATATCAAACAAGTCAAATAAAAATGATGATTCCCCTCATACAAATGTAAAGTAATGTAGCTTCTAAAATGTTAGTACATGATAAATACTAAGAGCATGTAGAGACATTCAGAGGATACTGCAAATCATAGATAAGAGAAATGGAGTCTGGCTTCACATCACACACATGTAATTGTGTGTGTCCATATATTTATCATACATATGAATGTTTGTGTTATATAGATGTACATAGGTTTATATTGCACCGATTACAAAATCATCTCTGTTTTATTTCCTGTGTATGGAAATGTGCATGTATAAATATGTATACATAAATAAATATAGGTCAGTCATACAAAGAAGCCAGTAGGAAGCATTTTTCAGTATTGAAAATATATCTCCAATAAGTAGCATTCAAGACTGCTTATATATATATAAAATCATATATATATATATGATTCATAACCAGGAGAAAAACTATTATATAAAATACTGGCTTCTACTTCTATTACCTGAATTTACACAGATGAATATTAGTATGAAGTCCCAACCTGACAGGGTATCCCTTCTAAATGACCAACCCCAATAGTAAATAATTTTTCACTACTGTAAGTGTCAGCAACATCTCAAAAATCTGGGATCATTATACCTAGGCACAACTTAAGGATGAAAATCAGAACAGCATTTTCATCCTGTTATCCATGGAGCTAAGTGGGAGTAAGTTTATGTTCATCTGATTCTCGAATACCATAGCAATTCAGTGCCAGAATCATCAGGATCTGGAGTACAGGCCCAACGCAAAACCTGCATCTGCATCACTTGCATCACTGCCCTTGATTCTTCGGAGTGCCAACACATCTTCCCAAACTTTGGGACTACAAGTTTGTGGAAGGAGGAAGGAGGTCAAGTTTGCACCACCTGGCCAGAATTTCTGTCTGAATTCTTGAAATGTGACATTGTGAAGGTCACCACAACTTCTAATGAGCCAAGAAGACATCATAAAATATACAAAATAGTGATTAACACAAAACAAGGAAACTGAAATGAAGAGAAGCAAAATTCACCCCCCCAATAAAAATCTAATTTTTTATCTAGTCAGAAAAACAGAACACATGATTAAAAGGGTGTGTGTGTGTGTGTGTGTGTGTGTGTGTGTGTGTGTGTGTGTGCATGTTAGACAAATAGTGATCTAGACAAGACAAGAGAAAGGAAGTTTCACACTTAGAGGAGGGTTGGTGTAGCAACTCTAAGCAAGGACATTTTGCATTATTGCATCTGGCCTGCAACACGGCCTTGTGACAGTACACATGTGTGTCTGCATCTTTGAAGATGTGTCTCAAGTTTTCTTAGGACATCACAGCAATGCATTTTGCCTAGAACTGAAAAACTGTATTTGACAAAATGATGTATCCACTAGGTTAACTAAATGCATTTTCATACAACATTTCCATTTTTTCTACTTATCAGATAAAGACAAGTGAAAAAACATCAAATGAGAAAAGGGGAAGGAGGAAAGAGAAAGAGAAATTGAATACTTACAAGTTTGGTTTTGATACAAGTGCAATTTTTTGCTTCTTTTTAGTTATTTCTTCAAAAGGACACTAGGTTATATGAACCCCAACCGAGTGAGTGATCGCTGGGTTTTCATTTCTTATCTATGTACATATACTGGGAATTTTTTGCAGAAACTTCCAGCCATAGGGGTTCTTATCTAATTTATATTTCTCCTGGGGAGTTCAGCAGGTTTAATTTTGGTGAAATTGTGAGTAAAAGAAATCAGGAAAATTTACCTAATTAGCATATGCAGGTACACATAGCAAGGTCCTAACTGCAAACATCCAGACTCCTACTCCACTCCACAGATCAATGCTCCTACCTGAGAGGGAAAAGTCCCCCTTCTGGCTTTCACTCTCTCTGATGAGAAAGGCGCCTGTCCGGTTTTCCGAATACTTTAGCTGTTTTTCTGCATCTGCTCTTTTGATTGCTCCAAAGAACCACCTGGAAAGGAGAGAGATGTAGATCCCAATTAACCAATCAGAGTCATTTTTAAAAGAACAAGAAGAGAACATTGCAAACCATCTGCTATTTCTTCAGTGGAATTGTCTCAAGTGGCAGCTTTTGATACTTGAGATGCCTTTTTCACCTCTGACTCCAGAATTTTTCAACACTCACTCCAGGATTCTTAAAATGAAAGTATGATGCCGAAATCTGATTGAAGCCTTCTCCAAACCCTTCCTAGCCCTTAATTCTTTCTAAAATCTTATGCTTGTATAAGCATGGCCACAAAGGGCTACATGCTACACTCATCATCACCATCAAATTTCCAATGCCATTAAGGTGAGAACAATTAAAAATACTTTCTCCATTCATTAATTCTTTTTGTCCCCACCTCCATCACTACCAAAGCCCTTGGTAATATGGAAGTATTTCATATGTTTATGAGAAACTTATTAACATAGGAAAACTTTGATCAGTAAGCAGACTATATAAAAGTACTTCTGGCTGGCAATATATGTTCTATGCTACACCCATCTCTGCCTTTATGTGCATGTGCACATGAGCACACAGGCACAAGCGCATGCACACACACACACACACACACACACACACACACACACACAGTTTCACAGATACTGTGAGTCAGATACTGAACACACAAGCTTATGAGTGTGATCAAACCAAGAATTATAGATCTTCAATGTCTCAGTCAGTCTAACACAAATTAGTGCTAAGGATGAATGACTCAGTGAATGATATTGGAACCATTACAATTCATATGAAATAAATTTATATATGTGTGTGTGTGTGTGTGTGCTACCTCCAAAATATACAATAATTTTACAAAAAGATCTAATATAAATGATGAATTTTAAAACTTGATGAGGACATTGGACCAGAACAACCCCCCCAAAAAATTCTACAAGAACAGATAAGGAAGACTAATTGGGAAACCTGATAATAATTTTGAATATTCATTACAACACAGCTTAAACTTCAATTCCATAAAATTACTATAAAGTAAAAGTCAAAAACCAAGTCATAAACCTTTGAAAAAGTATTTGCAAAGTATATAACCAAAATATGAGTGATATTCATATTGTACTGGGTGGGTGGTCAACAATCAATAATGAGAAACTTGGCAAAGGCTATAAGTGGACAATTCACAGAATTAGAAGGTTCAAGAAACTAATAAAAATAAGCAGCATGGCCAGGGCCTATGCCATAACGAGGTATTATATATAAATCACAATTCAGACTCTACAACTGGACACCTTATAGTCCTCCTACTGTAGGTTGTTGGTGAAAATGTCAAGCAATGTTTATGCAATTTTAGTGGCAATATAATTTGATATAACCTATTCGGAGACCAATCTGGCACCAGCTGGTAGAGTTGGGTATTTGTGTGCAGCTCAGATTCACTTCCTGACTCTGTGTTTAATGTGCTCAAGGAAACACACAACAAGAAAGTTCACTCAAGAATTTTAGCACTGGCATACATAAAACAAGTGCAGGAAGTGTTGCTCAGTGGTAGAATGTGTGTTTAGCATTCTCTAGTGCCTCAGCTGAGGCCTCAGCACCATTAAAAAAAAAAGAAACAAAGCAAAAACAAGACAGAACCTGAATGTCCATCACAGAGAATAAACAGTTACAGGAACTAAGTGGAGATTTACACAGAGGCAAACAAGTAAATCATAAAGGCACAAAAGGAAGCTGAAGAACAATTCACACCATTGTGATAACATTTGTATAAAACTTAAACACATTTTCAAAAACTGACAATGAATAGTTAAAATAGGCAAGCATTCCCAGAAATGGCAAAAATTCTCCATATATTTCCAGCAACAAAGCAACACAAATGAAATATACTGATCAGCTTGCTACAGTTTCCTGATTGAAAGGGCATTGATCATGCATCAATTTATGTAGCAAGTTACATTTGTTTAAAATTATGGTAACTTCTATATTTTATTTTCATGCATAAATACTCCATTATATAAAATTTATTGGAATATATTACATTTGTATTTGGGACAATTGTCTATGACTAGTGTGTTTCTTCTGCCCAAGTTACATACAAGCAAACAGCTTGTGTAAATCCAATGATTAAAGATAAGGTAATCTTCGTTTACAGAGAAACTATTTACTAATTTTCAGAACTTCTTCTGTCTCGGCAATTGTGGACTTCTGTTTCCTACATACACACAATTTAACTGTTTGAATGTATCTGTTTATTTCAGTCATACTTAGAATTTTGCTTGGCTTCCCTCCCATAAGGAAGGGAAGATTGTAAATAAAAAGTTATTTTCTACTTGCAGTAGCATTATAATGCCATCCTTCATACTCAAAGATGACGCACCTGCTGTGGATTGTAATCTTTAGAGCATGTGATATTGTCAAGCCTAACGGGGAAACAATAGCTCATCCCGCCCTTTGCACCTGGGGAAACCTTCCCTAGCTTCAGCTTGAAGCTCCTGGCAGGTCTGTTTCTGTCATCGGCTCTGACTTTTAGAGACCCTACTGGCACCACTTCTGGAAGTACACCAAAGCCATTTCAACACTCTCCTCAGCTGCTGTTATTCTGGGGAGTGGACAGCAGGGCCAAGAAGGGATCCAGACATCATAGCACATGTGAGGAGCCACAGAGAGTCTACAAACCTCAAAATGTGTTCTCTAGGCAGGAATATAGGCTCTGTATGGAAACACTAAAGTGGGAATTCTCCGCCCACTCCTGACATGCTCAAATAGAGACTTTGGGAATGTCATTCACCAATCAGGAACATAAGAAACCTTCCAGGTGTATTTGATGGATATGTAGAAATAGTCAAGAAATTAGAAATTTTTACAAGATATTAATTCTGAAAATCAGTAAGAGTTTGATACTATGATATGAAAAGGGTTATTGAGTAAATGACACCACATACATCCAAACACATATGCTTTATGGACATTTCTGAAAATACCATTTTGTTATACCATACCATGACATAGAAGTGACACTAACAGTAACCAAAAAAAAGAGATCAATAATAACTTGGATACTGGGAGAAATAAGTGCTTCCTTGAGAAAACAGAGAAAATGAATGCCTATTGTGAAAGTAAGACATACATAACCAGAGCCTGAAGTCTGTTTTGCAAATAATTGACAGATGTCTATCATACTGACATGGGAACTTCAGAGCAATAGGAATGTTCTAATTTTTTTATATTTTAAAAATCAGTGAGATTAATCCCTGATATTAATGAAAGATGTTGAAAATAATGATAGAGGACCCTCGGTTTTCACTCAGTATTCTCTATAATAGGAAGGGTTCTAATCACATGTAATTTATATGGACAATTAAAAGAAGTCCCTTAATAGCACACTACAAAAACTACATGTTGTCAGGTCAAGATTCAAAATGTTGACAATCAAACCTGATATACATATCCGGGTGATGGTGGCCCAAACCTTTAATCCCGCCACTGGGGAGGTAGAGGCAGGTCTATCTATGTAAGTTCAAAGCCAACATGGTCTCAAGAGTGAGAAACTCTGTCTCAGAAAAAAACAAACAAACTGATAGGTTTAAAAAAGTGCCAGTAGAACCTTGGAAAGGAAATTATGGGTGAGCAGACAAGAAGATGGAAGATGCAAATCAGGGTATCAAACATGACTCATTCCCAGAACATTTCAGAGCATAGTCAGACAGTTAGGAATGCCAGCATCGCAGTGGGACTTGCATTTAACCTCTCGTGCCTCAACTTCATCATTTGGGAGTAAGAATTATAGCAATGAACTTGTGACATTAAGAGAAATCATATCTGTAAAAGCTTGCTGACCAGGTCTGGACTTGATCAATACCCCCTATGAGAATAAAATAAAGAGAGAAATTACAAATCTATTTTGTATATTCTGGATTTAAAGTCATGATGGGACATAGGTTAATATGAGTGCGATCTTACATGCCTAATTGTCCCAAATTACTCTTCTTTCATGTCATTTTTCATAAATGCAACCTAACTAATCCAAAAAGACTAATGAATCTGTATTATGATTAATAAGTGATTACATATGAAAAAATGAGACAGCATTAATGGATCAGTGAGTAAGAGTTCTTGTTGTACAAGCATGAGGACCTGAATTCAAATCTCTAGCACCAACATGAAAATCTGGATATGTCAGTGCTGTGCAGGGATAGGATAAGCTCTGGGAGTTGTTGGCTACCAACCTAGATCCAGTTTCAGTGAGAGGTCCTATCTCAAATAATAAAACAGTATGTGTACCTACACACATGAGTACATGTACTACCCACACCCCTCACATACCGACATACACACCAAAAACAAAGCATTAAAGAATGTCACATATAAATACAACATTTAGAAATATCACATATAAATACTATCATTATCAAGCAAATGTTCTGCTCCTAGGAAACCAACCAGAAATTGATTTGCCTTCACTAAGAGTTCATTATTGCATGTACTAGAGTCTTCACTGAAGCATCAACTGGCTAAAAGTAAGTATCTAGGTCACTCAATTCTAAACAAATGTATATAATTTCCTCCTACAGTTAAAGAGAAGCACCATTGTGGTGATATATTGATTATGGTCTAATAAAACTTGCCTGAAGATCAGAATACAAAGCTAGCTACAGCCATAAAAGCTGAGCAGTGGTGGCACATACCTTTAATCACAGAACTCAGGAGACAGAAGCAGATGGCTCTCTGTGAGTTCAAGGCCACCCAAGGATATATGAGAGTGAATCCGTCTAAAAGAGAAACAGAGCTCACACCTTTAATCCCAGCACTAATGAGAATACAAGGATCTCAGTGCAGTCTCAGGAGCATTCTGAGGCTTGTTGGAGAGCAGTGCAGTCTGCAGATGCAGTCTGAGGTTCGGTGGATTGCCCCTTCACTCTGAGCATTGGTAGAGGTGAGAACTCTCTAGTGGTTGGCTGCTTTGCTTCTCTGATCTTCAGTTTGAACTCCAATGTCTATCTCTGGGTTTTTATTATTTG